GAACGGATTGTGTATAATATATGTGATGCCATAACGTTCTGGAAAAATACACTGACCATAGCTCATCTTGGGGCGTTAAATCAGGGTGAGGACAATCACTTATTAACACGTGTCTTGCCCACAACACACAAAATTCGTCAGCCCCAAAGCAGCATGATTGTAGAAAGATATTTCTAGTGATCTACCGTAACACAAATACTGGAGTAACCGAGAGGACCAAGGTTTTTGCTACGGACTAGTGGAAATCATTCCTGAATAATAAGAAACTAACTATTCTTTACCCTTACCGGGGTTAATGACACTGATTGACCATCACATCCGAGTTATTGTAATTATTGTAATTCACTTTTCAAAACGCAAAATCTACATGTTTCTAAACAATGGTCAGAATGTAACTCATACAATTTTGCTATCCAGGCTTCTATTTTGAAATACATCTCATATCAGAAGTGGGAGAATAAACATCTCCCATGGATAAGTTGAACTCATCCCTATAAGCAATGCGAGGGTTTATCAAGTTCATATACCAATAATACTCATACATTATATCATCGTCTAATGAGACTTCTACTGTTATGCACACATCATGTGTAGAGGAACTTATATCGATAAGTTGACCAGGTGATGATGGGAGGTTCACAAGTGCCAGTGTTGGCTGATACCTAGATAAATATATTTAGAAGAATCAGACGTATGTCACTCGATACATGACATACTTTTCTATAAGCGTTATGTTGGCGACACGTTTTTTTGTAACCAAAGGCAGAGTCGAGCATTTTCGAAACTTTGAGCTGTTTTCTCCTCCAAAACATCAGATCTACAGTCATAATATGAATCATCCTTCCAATTGATGGACGTTAAAATCACTAGAAAGAATCTCTGATTAGGCCTACATTCCGCAAATCCACCTGAACGACAGCGTAAATGCGCCCTACGTTCTGCAGAAAAAAAACGTGGAAGGGATCTTAAGTTGATATTTTGTGCACTACAACAACAACCGATATCTACGAAGGTCCATTGTATGTTATAACAGTATGACAGAAACGACATCTAAACAGTAATATGTACCAGAGAATTGCGTTTACGCACCATTCACTGTTCAGAAGTCGCCAGAATGAGAAAATAAAACGAGGTCGCATAAAACAAGCTCCCTCAAGGACGTACCTTTCCGCTTGCCTAAAAATTATGCACAGATGCAGACGAATAACCACTAAATCCAATCATGACAAGCCGGACTTTCAAATGACCTCCTCATGTATTTACCATTATCAGTACTCCTCCAGTAGCAATTACATAAGAAGAACTGAGAGATGAATAACCACTAGGATCTGAGAACACACCCCGATAAGTTGAGCACTAAAGGATTGAAATATTTCTTGTAGCGCCAATTCAATGCCATCCACTGGACTGAAAAACGTCCGTCAAATCGAGACTACCGTGCCAGGGATAAAGCTGACAGAAGACAGCGGGATTTTCATTGTTTGATAAAACCGTAAGAATTCGATGTCGCAAAGCAGCTCTCTGCCGACACAAGATGGCTTGNTTCTCTCAGCCCCGAAATGTGGTTTCCACCGCTTTTCCGACACATGAGCATGTATTCCAACTCATATTCTTGGCCCCACTCAGGTGTTATTGGTGACCTTTGACCTTCGCATCGATTTCACCTAGTTGAATGGTTGTGATGTTTTAAGGTTTTTGATTTTTCTGATCGAACTTTCCTGTGAGTAGTTGTGCACACAGCTGGAGGGATACCACAAAACAGTTAAATTCAACCTGTGTCATGATGATTCTAGTTCTCACACTTACGAAAGCACCAAAAAAACTGGATTCACTGGACGGTTTTAGCTATCAGAATGTATTGCATTATATTTCTGCAAGTTCCCCTCAAATTATCACTAACACATGCATAGTACTACAAGTCGTTTCCTGAAATCAAGTTGATCAGAATACCGAATAAAAAAGCATTTTGCAATCAGAGATAAATATACACAAAACGTAAGTCCATGGTTGATCTCGTTGTCTATGATCATACATTACAAAGGTAGTGTTCAGCACCGTGATCGGATTCAAATCCCCGTGAAAGTTCATAATGTGCTTGCAGTAAATTATTTCAATTCGACATTTCCAAAAGGTCAGTAGATTGTCATGTGCATTCGCACTTCGAGTAAATCGTTTCCGCTACACTCCCTGTTATTATTGGATAACAGTTACTTTATAAAGTACTCCAAAATGGTCACGGACAGGTGCCCGATGAGTCAGAGAACTTTGTGGGTGAGTTAACAGTGAGGTTTCTGAAGGCAGGGGCGGGGGTTGGATCAAATGACATCTCATATCAGATTATCACTAAATCGGTCACTATTTGCGTTTGTATACAAGCACTAAAATGAAACGTCTCACTGTCCATTGCGTCAGCAATTCGTATCGTTTTTCCAGTCTTAATAAAATAAGGAATAGACAATAAGCCATGAAGTTTGTTTGCTCTGTTTGTTCACGGCTTTCCAGGTAACTTCCCAAGTCAGATTGTCCTACAAGATTGGGAATGTGCGCCAAAGAAGGTTTATTCAATAAACTCTTAGCACATTTACTAGATCTATCGGAAATTGTGAATAACTAGATAGTTTGCAATGAAAGATAACACATTTTCAATTTCTATCTTTGTCCATTTTGGTATCCAAACTACAAAATACCTAATGAAACTGTAACAAGACCAAAATATGTTGCAGTGAATTTCATAGATAGGGTATACATATTTATGAGTCACCGTTGCACTGGTTTGCCAGCACCAATTATAACTTATTTAAAATGGAAGTCGTGGTTTCGGTATTACGTTCTCGACTCTCAAAGAATCTTAGTGCCTTCCGCCAAATAGTATACGTGGTAGCTCATTTTTCGAGGAAGAACACACAGATCATTCAGTGTAGGGTAGCATCGAACTTTTATTAAATGGGGTTTTCCAAGACCCTATTCTCAGTGGATACTACAGCGCTGGTCTAACATAGGGATAGGTGTTTTCTAAGGTAATGGCTATCCGAATGGATGTATTCACAAGTTGGTAAAAACGGCGAAAAACAAGTCATTCGTTTTAAGGGTGATCATTCAATGGAAATATTTCAAAGATCCCTAAAAGCCGCTGTAATAGATATGTTTTGTGCTAGAAAATGGCACCATGCAACCAAAATCTCATGGCTAATAACCCCAGGTCAATGAACATCAAGTGCTGATACTGATTCCATGAACGATGATGCATTGGCTCAGATGTACTTCAGACGCATTCCAAGTTGATTGCACGTTTCGGCAGTTATTCATCTGAATGGAAGAACACTAACCACGATGTATAAATCATGGCGCACAATTTCAAGTGCCATCCTCAAATTCTTTGTAGACACCGATCACCATACATACCTCAAACTACTATTGGGGTATCTAAATCGGTCCCTTTCCAATCGACAGGAATGCGTTCATGTGATCAGACCAATCGTTTCCGACGCCTCTGGAACGAGGCGTTTAGCGACTTGTACAGGTGGTTGCGAAGTTTCAAATACCAGTGTTTATTCAATTGTGTATTCGTCATGTTAATGTGCACTTCTTTCATAAATAAAAAGGAATTTGTCATTCTGCATAGTATTTCTTCACACATTGTCCTTACTATCCCATGTTGAGATCTATGCACCTATGAAGTTGTACGATGTTCAGGGCCAAAGAACCTAGGAACTATTCTTTTCGCACTTCTAGACACTTTTGCATAAGTTGTAGAAATTTCGTCTGACGTTCCACACACAAATACATTCACGCACTCACAAACAAATTACAAAACCCGAAAGTTGCAAATCTTCAAATAGAAACGTACCATCCATTTATCTGAACCTCCAAACAATAATCTCCCAGATAACTCCAAATGTACATGCTTCATTCTGTGTATTTATTTGCATATTGTACAGCGCAAAAAATGGTTTGCTTTTTGCGAGAAGCTGAAACACTACGGAAATAGAAACGCGAAACAATTGGTCCGCACTCGGCTACGAATCTGCTGCATGCATGGACCAGCGTGTGGCGCACGAAACTGCCGTTGGAGTCTCGCGTCAGAAAATCAAAAAAAGAAGAAGAAGGAAAACCCAACGCGGTGTCTTCCATCCACGCTCGGATGATTGATGACAAGAATTAAGGAACCGGCTGCCAACACGGTCTCTGACCTGGTCTTCGAAACAAAAACACAAATGTCGCACTTTCTCTCTCGCACAAACACACAAGCAGCCTTGCTCGCGCGCCCCCCACGTGCAAGCGCGAAGCCACAGCTCATGCCAGGTACGAGTCAATCGAAGGGACGCACCAAATGTAATCCCCGATCGAGCTCACTTGATACGTGCGGATCCACTCACAATTGTCAGGGCTTTCACTGAGTATTGATGATATAAATCACAGACTCATACGGTCAGTCGAACAGTTAGACTGACAAAAGGCGTTTGCACATAGGCACAAAGATCAACAGGTGGTCTTCAGTATGGGGACTGAGTGATAGTGAAGAAGAGAAAATGAAAACTGAAAAAGAGAGAAAAAGCTGTGTCGTGTTCTCTTCAGTGATTAACTCTGGTTACTTTACATGATCCGAGCGGTATATCGGATTGCAACTGATCTGATGTGAATTTGTCAATCTGATAATACGTGCATGATTTGATTGGTGACTTGACTTCCCAGTCGAATGTGAATGTGAATCGGTGTTGCGAAAATCGATAGAATGTTCTGCACATAAAGCTATTTACAAGACACCCAGAGAGTACAATAGAGGAACTGGCGCAAGACACTTAGCTTGGTCTCAGTTTATCAATAGTCACACCCAGATATAAATGAGTACATGTGGAGTGCGAAGCAGCAGGACAGCAAGGAAACTTTGGGCGCAAGGATACTGACCTGTGTGTGTGTGCATGCCTGTATGCAGTTGGTTGTCAGTCAGTGCATTCTGAAAAGACACAAACCTGAATAGTGTGCAGATGCCTGTATCCGTCTCAAGTATATTTCCCGGGCCACATATTTTTAGCCCGAACAAACGGAAAAGAGGATTTTCTAGTGTTATTCATTGATTTTTTCTGTGCATTTGAATTGACCGAGCTGAGTTTGGCCGATTGGTTTTTTGCTGTTACTGAGCCCAAATTCGGACTGCTACCGATCGAGAATGGTGCGTCGATTGAAACAATACCGTTGGCCAAGCGACAAGTCAAGTCAGTTGGATCCACGTGAGCCGGGAGCGTGTGCTCACTTCGATGCTCGTAAATCATTCGATTGGGTCGATTTACACCGAACTGTGAAGTTTTGTTGCCAACAAAGCGTTTTGCACTGATTACCACGACACCATTTTGCACACTGACGGATAGATCTTCGGGCCGAACGTGCGGTCCTACATCCACATTCAATGTGAATCGCTTATTCCCCAGAGAAGAGTTTGTATGATTCGATTTAGCCACATTCCCATAAGGGAAATGCAAGTTTTGTCTAGACGGCCGTTCGGGGCTAACTGATAGACCGCGTTTCCAAGTTGTCTGTAAATTTGATGCATTTGAAGACTGATTTACAGCGGTGGGTGCAACAAGTCGGACATTCTTCGCCGGACGTGGTGCGGGTGATGACTTCAGTATGTATTCCGTTGGAAATTTGGCGAAAGAAACACGATTCACAGATGGAGGTCTGGCGAAAAATTCGGGCTGATTGTTAAAATGGCTGATCGAGCTTCGATTTCGGCTCGATGAGTGAGCTACGGTTCCCGATTCGTGGAACGTTATTCTTCGGGGATCCGCATTATACCCGTAAACATTGGAACGGTCAAAACTGGGTGGAGTGTATGGCGGTGGGCTGGTGAATCTGGTTGGAGAGGCCAGATAGTTTGCAGTAGACAGCCGACTCATTTGAGCACTGTGTGGCTGGCTGAACGGACGCTGAAGGTTTTCCATTGCATCCGCTTCAATGATCAGTATTCCATCGGCTCTAAGAACACAAGTGACTGAATTGGCATCCACATTCGCAGGCAAGTACAATTCGCGTCGCAACTCATGCGTTCTCTCGTCCCCATTCACATCAACATCCACAAATTTCGCATCAATGTTAATAATATTCCTCACATTTGTCACACTGATATTTTCCTCCGGAAATCCGTTTAGGTCAACTTCGATAGCATATTTTAGTTTTCCTTTTGGGTCACGAAAATAACGTGGTTGTGACGGTGCTGCTGTTCCGAACACGACTGATTGACGATCGGTCACACTAGCACTGGGTGATAAGGGAGGTGCGTGAAACATGAGACTCTGTCTATGCACAAACCGACCACCGTGCAACTGAAAAGCGCAAACACATGTTCAAGAGTAGCAAAGCACAATTTCAGCAAGGGCTAATCACAGGGCTTGCTATGGTCTACGCCCACGCCTTGCTAACGTTGACCAATCACCCACCAAAATTTGGATTTGTGTCGGGTTCCTGTAGTATACTTTGCAAAAAGCTTTGTCTAACCAATCGCATCATTTGACCTTGAACACTGCTATAACCATTCGACCAATCAAACAAAGCTTATGTGGTAATTCAGCACGTGACAGACAAGGGCATCTGAACTTGTAATTCGCCATGAGCGTGTAAAGCAGTGTGATGAAAAGCCCCTATTTCCCTTTCAGACAAAAAAAGGAATGGGTTAATTACCACTGCGTATTTATCGAGTAAGATGAGGAAAATCGGATTCTAGCATATATTTGCTTCATATTTCTGTTCTCTAAATCTAAGCTCGTATCAGGAAATTAATTTAGCAATATTAAGGAACTTTGCAATATATCACAAAATGTCCTAAATAAATGTCATAAAAATGCCAATCTGAATGATTATCGATTTGTTGAAAGATGACGTATACATAGTGATGTATAGCCGCGTTCACATAGTCAATTTGCACGTCGTCTGCTGGATGATGTCAACTCGGCTGGCGATGAAACGTTTGAAAACAAATTACCAAGCTCGGTGAACAGGCGAAATGGAATGGATATATATATATAATACCTCCTTCGTAAGAAAGAGAAACACATGTAACACAGTTATTTTGTTCAGGACTCTCTAAAACGTGAACTAACGGAGAATTCCTTTGAAGTCCTAGAAGGTGAAATCACGAATCCTATGGAATATTCACACACTATTCCAGCGTGCAAAATCGATTTGATTTACCGCATCCATTTAGCCCAGGTATTTTTTTAGTAATACTATAACTTTAACGACCGTGCTCAAACTGAACTACTTGTGGCACTTACATTCCGACGTGTGTCTTATCTAAAGGGGATGACAATTATGGGACAACTAATCAAGAGTCAATCCACGTATGGAATTACTCCGTTTCTGTATGTGAAATAACTTGCAGGAAGGAGTTGGTTCATATTTTGAGCTAGTTCGAGGATTGACACGGTTTTCACGAATTCGGGATGCAGACAGTTCGCTTGGGCTTGTCAGTCAATCTATCACCAACGTTCAAAAGATTCGAAGCAGAACCTCAACCAAAATAAACCTATTAGTTCCCAGTATACCGGAACAAACGTCTAACTGATCTGGAAAGCAGGGTGAATTCTGGGTGAAATCGTGGACAAATGAATAAAGATAGCCTCACCACAGCGTAGGCAACTCACTCTAAATCAGAGTTCACACGAGACAGAATGCTTAACCGAGTGCGGTATTAGAGTTAGCAACCTGCATTTAAGGCAAAGCTAACGTGACCAACCATTCACGTTGTTTGCATAGATCGGGTTTGAGGATACGAATGTGTTGTAGATGACCTGAAATGCGTGGGGTGGGATGACACGATGTTTTTGTTCGAACAAATGCTGTGTTATTGAAGATCTTAGTCTTTTCTGCTCATTCGATGATGTAACAGTTTTGAACTTGTCGTCCATCGCTTTCCTAAGCCACAC